AATGCTGCTTCATGGAGTTTTTCTTTCATGGAAGGTTGTTACAATAGTTTATAGCGCGCTGTCAATAAAAATATTTTATCAAATCTAAAACAAAACCACCGCTTTATATTTAGCGTTTTTTTTGTTATTATTATCATTTTCCCTTGTCTGTACTATGCTGCTAATAACGAAGGAGTTGTTTCTTTTCAAACGATGAATAAATGTTAACGTTAGATCATTGCTTATAATATGGAATCAATCCAAGGAGTTCCGAAAAAAACAATATTGTTGGTTTTCTGAAATGTAGTTGCTACATTTTGCATTATCCCAAATGGGACGATCCAAAGATATAACCTACCTATCCGATCCTTTTATATTCACATGTGAAGATATTACTCTCAGTACTGTCGAATTAGAACGTCACTTTCTATTCACTAACGTCACTGTACCCAAATCGGGACACTTTTTAGATACTGAAATAGGCCTTAATATCATCTATATATCATACTATCAGTTCCAAAAAAGTTTGTTCATTTTTTATACAAAGATATTATCCATTTTTCATTTCTATCACAATTTGATATTTTGGGCGCGTGGTTCTATAAAAAGAACGCGAAATACCATACGTAGGCCATTGAACCGGCGTTATTGTACCGATTTGGGTACAGTGACCGTAGATTCTACGTAATTAGACTTTCAGTTTCAAGCTCAGGTGAAGCGAAAGCAGAATAAGCGTTCGTTTTCATGCGTCTTTGCAACAGAAAGTATAGTAATTACATAACCACACAGTTGTTATAGTTTCTATGTGAAACCTTACCCGATAGTAGCAGTAAACGGCTCTGCTTTGTTGTCAAGCGAAAATGTGACGTCATAAGAACCTATATTACATTTATGGATATACATTGTAGTATTCCTCTTTAGATCTACAGAATAAATCCAGTACAAGCAATAGGTAAACAGGACAAATATTAACAAATGTATATCAATATGTAATACTACAAAACAATGAAATTGACTGACATTTAAACGTGCAGTTAAAAATGTACATGTTCGTGCCTTGTGATAATTACAAAATGTAATGAGCGTCAATAGCGCATCATGTGAGGATATTGAGCGTTGACAACATGTGAGGATATTGAGCGTGGACATCAGGTGAGGATATTGAGCGTGGACAACAGGCGAGGATAATGAGCGTGGAAATCATGTGAGGATATTGCGCGTGGACATCATGCGAGGATATTGAGCGTGGACATCAGGTGAGAATATTGAGCGTGGACATCAGGTAAGGATATCGAGCGTGGACATCATGTGAGGATATTGAGCATGAACATCATGTGAGGATATTGAGCGTGGACATCGTGTGAGGATATTGAGGGTTGACATCATGTGAGGTGATTGAGCGTGGACATCATGTGAGGATATTGAGCATGAACATCATGTGAGGATATTGAGCGTGGACACCATGCGAGAATATTGAGCGTAGACATCATGTGAGGATATTGAGCGTGGACATCAGGTGAGAATATTGAGCGTGGACATCGTGTGAGGATATTGAGGGTTGACATCATGTGAGGTGATTGAGCGTGGACATCATGTGAGGATATTGAGTGTGGACATCATGTGAGGATATTGAGCGTGGACAACCTGTGGGGATATTGAGCGTGGACATCATGTGAGGATAGTGGACATCATGTGAGGATATTGAGCGTGAACATCAGGTGAGGATATTGAGCGTGGACAACCTGTGAGGATATTGAGCATCGACATCATGTGAGGATATTGAGCGTGGACACCATGCGAGAATATTGAGCGTAGACATCATGTGAGGATATACAGCGTGGACATCGAGTGAGGATATAGAGCGTGGACATCGTGTAAGGATATTGAGCGTAGACATCATGTGAGGATATTGAGCGTGGACATAATGTGGGGATATTGAGCGTGGACATCATGTGAGGATATTGAGTGTGGACATCATGTGAGGATATTGAGCGTGGACACCATGCGAGAATATTGAGCGTAGACATCATGTGAGGATATTGAGCGTGGACACCATGCGAGAATATTGAGCGTAGACATCATGTGAGGATATGCGTAGACATCATGTGAGGATATTGAGCGTGGACACCATGCGAGAATATTGAGCGTAGACATCATGTGAGGATATTGAGCGTGGACATCAAGTGAGGATATTGAGCGTGGACATCATGTGAGGATAGTGGACATCATGTGAGGATATTGAGCGTGAACATCAGGGGAGGATATTGAGCATGGACATTATGTGGAGATATTGAGCGTGGACATCATGTGAGGATAGTGGACATCATGTGAGGATATTGAGCGTGAACATCAGGTGAGGATATTGAGCATGGACATTATGTGGAGATATTGAGCGTGGACATCATGTGAGGATACTGAGCGTGGACATCATGTGAGGATATTGAGCATGGACATCATGTGAGGGATAATGAGCGTGGACATCATGCGAGGATATTGAGCGCGGACATCATGTGAGGATATTGAGCGTGGACATAATGTGGGGATATTGAGCGTGGACATCATGTGAGGATATATTGAGCGTTGACATCGAGTGAGGATATCGAGCGTGGACATCGTGTAAGGATACGTAGACATCATGTGAGGATATACAGCGTGGACATCGAGTGAGGATATCGAGCATGGACAACATGTAAGGATATTGAGCGTGGACATCGTGTAAGGATATTGAGCGTGGACATCATGCGAGGATATTGAGCGTAGACATCATGTGAGGATATGCGTAGACATCATGTGAGGATATTGAGCGTGGACAACAGGTGAGGATAATGAGCGTGGACATCATGCGAGGATATTGAGCGTGGACATCATGTGAGGATATTGAGCGTGGACAACCTGTGAGGATATTGAGCATGGACATCATGTGAGGATATTGAGCGTGAACATCAGTTGAGGAGATTGAGCGTGGGCATCATGTGAGAATATTGAGCGTGGACATCATGTGAGGATATACAGCGTGGACATCGAGTGAGGATATAGAGCGTGGACATCGTGTAAGGATATTGAGCGTGGACATCATGTGAGGATATACAGCGTGGACACCGAGTGAGGATATCGAGCGTGGACATCGTGTAAGGATATTGAGCATAGACATCATGTGAGGATATTGAGCGTGGACAACAGGTGAGGATAATGAGCGTGGAAATCATGCGAGGATATTGAGCGCGGACATCAGGTGAGGATATTGAGCGTGGACAACCTGTGAGGATATTGAGCATGGAGATCATGTGAGGATATTGAGCGTGGACAACATGTGAGGATATTGAGCGTGGACATCAAGCGAGGATATTGAGCGTAGACATCATGTGAGGATATACAGCGTGGACATCGAGTGAGGATATCGAGCGTGGACATCGTGTAAGGATATTGAGCGTAGACATCATGTGAGGATATTGAGCGTGGACATCATGTGAGGATATTGAGCGTGGACATCATGCGAGGATATTGAGCGTAGACATCATGCGAGGATATTGAGCGTGGACATCGTGTAAGGATATTGAGCGTGGACATCATGTGAGGATATTGAGCGTGGACATCATGCGAGGATATTGAGCGTAGACATCATGTGAGGATATACAGCGTGGACATCGAGTGAGGATATAGAGCGTGGACATCGTGTAAGGATATTGAGCGTAGACATCATGTGAGGATATTGAGCGTGGACATCATGTGAGGATATTGAGCGTGGACATCATGCGAGGATATTGAGCGTGAACATCATGTGAGGATATACAGCGTGGACATCGAGTGAGGATATCGAGCGTGGACATCGTGTAAGGATATTGAGCGTGGACATCAGGTGAGGATATTGAGCATGGACATCATGTGAGGATATTGAGCGTGGACATCGTGTGAGGATATCGAGCGTGGACATCATGTGAGAATATGGAGCGTGGACATCAGGTGAGAATATTAAGCGCGGACATCATGTGAGGATATTGAGCGTGGACAACATGTGAGGATATTGAACGTGGACATCGTGTAAGGATATTGAGCGTGGACAACCTGTGAGGATATTGAGCATGGCCATCATGTGAGGATATTGAGCGTAGACATCTTGTGAGGATATTGAGCGTGGACATCATGTGAGGATATTGAGCGTAGACATCATGTGAGGATATTGAGCGTGGACATCGAGTGAGAATATTGAGCGTGGACAAAATATTCTGAAAGATTAAATTAATGTCATTAACAGAAATAATCGAAGAATAAATTGAAGTGTGTAGGATCCGTTCCATCAGTTGGCATCTGTCAGGTAGTTGACTTTTACCAAAAGATTTTGGTGTCCTCAGCTTTGTTTTTATTTCAATAATTTTGAAACTTAAGCGCCACCAATACTGTAACAAACAGAAAATTGATAACCTATTCAAAAACCCTATTTATTTATATACTTATATTTTTTTCACTTTTTTTTTCATTGAAATTAACGCTTACAGCTAGCTCTTCCAAAAATATAGTCTATATGGTCAGTGTATTTAAAGGGATATAACTCTGGTAGGTCTACAAGCATTATGGTTCTCCATATGATGTGCCACCCATGGAAACCGAGGGCAAGACAATAAAAACGACTAGTCCATATCTGTATCATGGAATACACGTAGAAGTCGGCTCTTTCTTAGATATAAATGGTTGTCATACACCTTTTTGTATAACAACATAATTCCGACTACAAGCACGACCTTAGACACTACGTATATCTAACTCTGTTACAGAAGTCATCAGCAATCTTTTTCTGTTTCATCCTTGTTAGAAATTAATTGGAGTGATTGTTTTAAAACAGTGTCTTATTTAGACATACATGTACACTGTAATATATGTTCACCACCTTAATTTGGTATAAGAGATAAATTTCACGATACATATAACGGGACTATGTATTTATTACTGTTTTCCGAGTATGGGGTTTGTTATTGGTGTGACTGGTATGGCTTGGCAGCGTCCCATCTGTATCTGGTTGTCGACGATTATCCACCTAGATAGCTGACATTCATGAGGAAATATTTGTGTACGACTTGACAAATGTTTCCGGTTTGTCGATTCCGTCTAACATATGTCCCCAGCGGGGCGATACGAAGGAGTGGTGACCTTTTAAGTTAAAGGACAAACTCTAGATAACGTGGTCCTGATTGATTATAATATTATATAACGCTAGCGGGTTTAACAGGATCAGTTTACCCACGTGACCCGCTAAAACACGTGTTTTTAGGTGTAAACATCCTGCAGTCTATTTACCTGTATGTGTGTCCGGAAGTCACAATTAGGCCCATATGGGTTCACGACCCCATTTTGTCGATGTGGTTCAAGAGCTATTGTTGATTTGAAAGGGCACTGCCTCATTGATGTATCATGCCTGTGTATGACCAAGCATGGAAAATGTGAGTCACTAACGGTATCTGACGGTCAATGGAAATGTCTTCAAAACACAGCATACTGTTGTGACGCAGTGTGTATTTATATCGCGTAACAGAAGGAGCTAGAATACTACTGTAAATTCTGACAGTGTTTCCCGTCAAATCACAACAGCTCCCGGGTTGTTATCTTACAATTTTCATTCAGTAGATTAGCATTATGCCGATGGGACGGTCCTACTAGCCAAAAAGTGTGTATAGTAACTATGACATAAGTTAACCCACGTGGTGGCAGTGGAGCAGACGGCACATTTGGACGGCAGTTGATGAGGGTATGTGATGAAGACGAAGGTGTTCGCTTTAATGGGAGGATTTACGTCTCTGATGCAGGTGTTCGCCCTCTGTACTCCATGGTGGGTAATTGTCAAGAGGGACGAACGTCGGACGGTGTACGGGCTGTGGTACACCCTCTCATGTGAAGTATCACAAGGCGTGTCCTTCTGCAAGACTCTGTACCACCACGAGCCTCACGAGGAACATGACGTCATCGATGTTGTGTGTAAGTAAAAACATACTCCTTGATAGTTCCACAACTCAATAAAGTCATTGCTTATGTATTGATACGATTTCGTTATGGTTAACATACTTGAAGTGTTCTCATGTTCGTTTTAAATAAATTATCAAGATCATTGTAATGTACGCAGGTGTAAATGTCATTTTGGGAAATTATTATTGAGGTATAAAGTGGATCAATGGGGAATTTTTGTTCTCGACATCTACAAAATATTGACCACCTTCATTAAGTTGACGATTATGTCAATATACAGTTATATGCAATCTATCTATCAGAGGTGGTGACTACGTATACGTCATGGGTACGTAAGGTGGGGTATTCAGGGCCCACCATTACCCCAGTCCGACAATTAAAATCTTGGAAGGCATTGTTTTATATTACCACTTTGTACTGCGTACGTTTTTACACACCTGTACAAGTTTCCCTAAATAGCGATACTACCAGACCTTATCCGATCTGTATGCGACCTATTTTTCTGGAATGTATACATATACTCGTCAGTCAGGTGTGTTAGCCAGTATAAGACGAGGGCCCAGGTGAGCTATATGCATATAGCTGTCCTGGTTTACGACGTCCGATGATTAGTGCTAACCTGTAGTGTTTATGACAAGGTTAATACACGTTGGGTTAACTAACATACACCTGTGTTGTTACAGGACTTAAATAAAAAATACCGTGTGACCTACGCTGTACCCTCAAAGTACGGAAAGCTGTGTGTCAGAGGTCTCCACTTTATAAGGTTTACCTAGATATAAAAGTAATTTTATGACGCACAATGCAAACACTGCATGTCATACAAAGATTGTATCATGAATTTCTTCTAGATCCCTGTGATTAAGTTGATTGAAGTGTATACATCGTCGAGAGAGAGTCGTTTCATTTCTCCGTCTGAAGTTGGTATCTAAGTTTACAACAGATATATTGGTACATTGGTTCTCTGTGTCGATTATCCGTTGCAGTTTCTAATATTAAGACCGATAATCGTGACGGAACTGGTCAGTTCAGGTTTGAGTTTCTTTTTTTCCGAGAGCCATGAGATTCATAGGTTAAATACCAAACAATTAAATCGTGTAGAACATACACAAGCTATTATTTATGCAAACTGGTTTTTTTCTCAGTAATTATCAACAGTTTTACTACGGCGAGCTTAACACCACGCCAGACGTTTGTTCTAGATTCACTTCTCGTATTCTTACCCTTTTTGGTACCGAGCATCTTTTAAACCCAAAATCATGTAAACTTTCTGATGAGCATAAAAGAGTGAAGCTTTTTGTTATTAAATATAGTCGTAATATAGTCAAAATGTGAGCGTCCTTTATGTTAACTAACCTCTGAGGTGTCCGCTCATCACTAACCTCTGAGGTGTCCGCTCATCACTAACCTTTGAGGTGTCCGCCTAGCACTAACCTCTGAGGTGTCCGCCTAGCACTAACCTCTGAGTTGTCCGCTCATCACTAACCTCTGAGGTGTCCGCTTATCACTAACCTCTGAGGTGTCCGCCTAGCACTTACCTCTGAGGTGTCCGCTCATCACTAACCTCTGAGGTGTCCGCTTATCACTAACCTTTGAGGTGTCCGCTCATCACTAACCTCTGAGGTGTCCGCCTAGCACTAACCTCTGAGGTGTCCGCTCATCACTAACCTCTGAGGTGTCTGCTTATCACTTACCTCTGAGGTGTCCGCCTAGCACTAACCTCTGAGGTGTCCGCCTAGCACTAACCTCTGAGGTGTCCGCTCATCACTAACCTCTGAGGTGTCTGCTTATCACTTACCTCTGAGGTGTCCGCCTAGCACTAACCTCTGAGGTGTCCGCCTAGCACTAACCTCTGAGGTGTCCGCTTATCACTAACCTCTGAGGTGTCCGCTTATCATGATTTGTCAATTTCTTCTCCTCTCCCTGTCTTCTGCTCTTTCTGAAAGATTCTCAGTAATTTACTTATTTCTCCTTTTGTTGATCCGTTTTGCTTCAAAATTATGATGTTTTTTCTAGACCTTTGCCAGATGACAACTCTTTGCCTTTCAGTTTCCGACCCATTGCTATAGTCGTCTCGGAAATGTTTTTATTGGAAGCAGACGATACTTTACTTCCGGATACAATGACGTCTTTTTACCAGACGCGTTCGATGCGAAGGGAGAGTCTGACATTGCGTAAGAGTCGAGATACATGTAGCTATTACGCAGCCATTTTGTTCATGGGCATATATTTGGCACGGTGCTGTACATGACACCCCCACCTCCGATGTGTGGCCCTAATATATATTTATTACACAGGTACTCAAACATATAAAAAAAATATAAATAATATCCCCAATTACCCCAACAGTATGACGGAGAGAACCGAACTGCTTCTGATTGGAAAACATTTAGTGTAATAGTTCTTGCTTTTACTAAGTAAGCTCTTTTATATCAACTTTTCGAATGGAGAAACATATTAAGAGGTAATTCAAGGAAAATGTATATGTTAAGATATTGAGCTACTTTCAGTTGCAATCCATAGGCTATATGAATGCCAACTGGAAATGACAAAAATTATCTTCGTTTCTCGAAGATACAGTTGTAAGCAACAAATCAGGAACGGGATCGAACACCAGTCATGGAAATCAAAAGGGTGGCTAAAAGGGTGGCTAAAAGCGCAAACGCCTCTCCTGTTGGTGGGGGTACGAGATGCCTAGATCGTTGAAAGGTTGAAGTGGTGTTTGCGGGACTGCGGTCGAGTGCTTGGTAACGTGATCTGCTACATCAGACACTTGTCGACTCAAGATGTTACGTCCACCGTGTAACAGGAAGATCCTCTCGGCATTCTATCTGTCATCCTGACGACTAGACACTTTTAACAAAATTAAATGCAATTGTAGAAAAAAGTGTGCGATAACTCATAAGTTTCACGCTGCAAAAATCGGCTGAAAAGAGGGCGAGGAGTATTGGTCGTTTCCGGTATCTGTCACCATGTCGAGTAGTTGTTTCCATGTTCTCGGACTGGATTTCCACATGAAAGTTAAGACCTGATTGTATGACGAGTAACCGAGCAATGTACTTACCGTTCCAAATATGGTGTACGGATGACGGTTTATGATAACACTGATTGAGATATTGCACAACTTAAGTACTCTTCAAAATGTTAAGCAATGCCACACAACGGAGAACAAATTACTTGTAGGAGTCAAGGCTTCACTTAATTATAATAAGATACTAGCAGGTTAATTTCATTTTGAAATGGCAATATCACAATAAGGACTTCTTACATTGGTATTCCTTCAAACCTCCTCAAAGGTATCCGGTTTGATCTTTTCTGTCATTATCTTCTGCTTAATAATTATTTTATCAAATAAATCTTTTGAACCATACTAATACATTATATAAATGATCTTCCGAAGAACGAAAACACTTCGCATGCGTCGTCAACGTTCGGTGACACAATTTCGCTGGCTAAATATCGATTTTAAGTTGTCTATCCTGATAATTGTATTTTATTGTAATTGTGCAATTTGCACGTGTGTATTCCAGGATAATGTGAAAATGTGAAGTGATAGTTATTGTGATTAATACAACACCGTATAAATATGTAATGAGTACAATACAACAATAAATGCTTATGTGCTGTACATGTACAAACATTTCTTTATGATAGGTCTCCTAATATATAGGTCTCTCCTAATATATAGGTCTCTTCTGTTAAATATAGGTCTCTACTAATATATAGGTCACTTCTGTTAAATATAGGTTTATCCTAGTACATGCTGTAAGTATAGGTCTCTCCTAGTACATGCTGTAAGTATATCTCTCCTCGTACATGCTGTAAGTAGGTATCTCCTAGTACATGCTGTAAGTAGGTCTCTCCTAGTACATGTTGTAAGTAGGTCTCTCCTAGTACATGCTGTAAGTAGGTCTCTCCTAGTACAGGCTGTAAGTATAGGTCTTTCCTAGTACATGCTGTAATTAGGTCTCTCAAAGAACATGCTGTAAGTAGGTCTCTCCTAGTACATGCTGTAAGTAGGTCTCTCCTAGTACATGCTGTAAGTAGGTCTCTCCTAGTACATGCTGTAAGTAGGTCTCTCCTAGTACATGCTGTAAGTAGGTCTCTCCTAGTACATGCTGTAAGTAGGTCTCTCCTAGTACATGCTGTAAGTAGGTCTCTCCTAGTACATGCTGTAAGTAGGTCTCTCCTAGTACATGCTGTAAGTAGGTCTCTCCTAGTACATGCTGTAAGTAGGTCTCTCCTAGTACATGCTGTAAGTAGGTCTCTCCTAGTACATGCTGTAAGTAGGTCTCTCCTAGTACATGCTGTAAGTAGGTCTCTCCTAGTACATGCTGTAAGTAGGTCTCTCCTAGTACATGCTGTAAGTAGGTCTCTCCTAGTACATGCTGTAAGTAGGTCTCTCCTAGTACATGCTGTAAGTAGGTCTCTCCTAGTACATGCTGTAAGTAGGTCTCTCCTAGTACATGCTGTAAGTAGATAGATCTTTCCTGATAAATATCGGCCTCTTCAAATATAAAAGTATGTCCTGATAAGTGTATACAGGCCTCTCCTAATATACAGGTATCTCCTGATACATTTAGGCCTCTCCTAATATACAGGTTTCTCCTAATAAATACAGGCCTCTCCTAATATACAGGGATCTCCTGATAAATACAGGCCTCTCCTAATATACAGGTATCTCCCGATAAATACAGGTATCTACTTATATACAGGTATCTTCTAATATACAGGTATCTCCTGATACATACAGGCTTCTCCTAAGATCCAGGTATCTCCTGATAAATACAGGCCTCTCCTAATATACAGGTTTCTCCCGATACATTTAGGCCTCTCCTAATATACAGGTATCTCCTTATAAATACAGGTATCTACTTATATACAGGTATCTTCTAATATACAGGTATCTCCTAATATACAGGTATCTCCTGATAAATACAAGCCTCTCCTAATATACAGGTATCTCCTGATAAATACAAGCCTCTCCTAATATACAGGTATCTCCTGATAAA